CCGCACCATGCTACAGCGCACGTGTTAAGTTCAATAAGCGAGCACAAACAGTTCTAGATATACAGAATATATATAAAATAAGTATATAATTATCTGAGATTCGACTTATTACATTTTATTAAAAAAAGGAAGATCTACAATTATATTTTATACCGGTACCCAAATCAAGGGCGTAAAGCGGGCGGGAACTTGCAAGAAACTCTCCGCAACTCTTTTTATCGCCATGTTTTGGTGCACAAAGGTATTGTCTGCAATCTCATAATAAAAAAGTAACAAACAACAAACACGTAGCATCAGTGGGTAAAAATAATAAATAGCACACACGAAACGAGCAGGAGGCTCACCTAATGTTAAATAAATACCACCCACTCACATTGACATAGGACTTGCGAATGCGTTGCCGGCCTTTTAAGAATTGGTACGCTTTCTTTTTGAAGGACCCTAAGTTAAATTGGTTGCAAAATACTTCGTGGTGGTGCGTGGCAAAAACTGCCTTAAAAAAAGGCAGTTGTGGAACGACGGACGTCGAGGTGACACGGATGGAATTACGTATTCTGCCTTCACGTCCAATGATGAAACTCAACTGTAGGTATTAATCAGAATTCAAACACTCCACTTACGGAGGCATTAAATAAATATGTTACAAACATTTTGTAATTAAACTTCTCCGAAATGGCTCGACCGATTTTCGTAAAAAATTTTTTGCATATCGGTTAGGTGTGCGAATCGGACAACATCCTAAAAGTATCCTGCTATGGAATTCCTTACCTATTCATATCAGACGAGCTCAGTCTTTAAATTTATTTAAAATCTCCTTTTTGATCATCTTTTTTCTGCCTCGTGATTAGCTACTACCTTTATATATTAATTGTGAGTCAATTAACCTTAAGCTAAGCTTTTACATGTCTGTTTATACATACTATTATTTATACCTTTTCTTTATTATGATTTTATTTTATTTAATTTTAGTTATAGTTGCAATTTATTTTTAGTATCTTTTTGTTAATTAATTATGCATCTCTTGCACTACACAAAAAAAGAAACACCTGCAGAGGTTAACTGTAGGTGTTTCTTTTTTTTCTATTGTACCATTTTAGGGTTGCCTGGAAGAAATTGCTTGTTAGCGATAAGGCCACCCGTTGCCTAATAACTTATGTAACCTGCTTACTTTTTGGTTTTTTTTCTATATGTATAATTATGTGTATGGCAATGAAGTGTAAATAAATAAATAAACATCTATTTTTATCCACCTAAATGTAAAGGTCTGTAATTTTTATTTGTATTAGACAAAAAAAATATTTTTCTGATACAGCATACATACAACCCTTAATTTTTACCCCCGTACGATCAATCCCTATTTTTTATTATAGTAGAGAGTTATTATTATTGAACTAAAAATGTTTCCTAGAAATAATAACATAGCAAAACAACGTTTGCCGGGTCAGCTAGTATATCTTAGAAGTAAACGAAAAACTCTAGTGTATCGAGTAAAACGGATAAGTTTTATACTCAAAGATAAACGTATAAGGCGCAGAAGGTTTATCGAGTAAGAATATATACGAGCCTTGATAGTATTGTATAATGAAATAGATGATCCATCGGTCCGTTATATGCCCTATTTTATTATCTTTACAGTATAAGTATTACATACATTATCAATAAGAATGTATGAATAACCTAAAACATTTTTTTCCATCTGGAAATACTGCGTGAACTAAGCGTAACGTACTTCAGCTGGGCGCGTCCCTCCCGGGATACCGAGCATGGAGCGATCAGTTCTCTCCCGGATATCATCCCGGTCGCACATATCTGGCGTTTGTGGTGCACCGCGAAACTTCTAAGGATCATAATGCCTTGAAGCGGTTTGCCATTCGGAAATGTAAAGTGCGTCTTTTGTGTTCGAACTTATGATCGTGATTATTACTCTCGAGATCACTGGAATGAGGAATCCCTTTTTAAATTACGATATGGGTAAATATTTGATGGTAAATATTCATGTGGTAGTATTTTTTTTATTTTTGGCATCTAGACAACCATTTTACGCCATTGTGTTTTGGGTTTAAGTTTCAAAATATATATATTAGAAATAGTATAAGTGAATAAACCTCTAAAAATTAACTGTTGTTGCATAAATTATTACAATAATAGATATAATTTACCAGAATTATATTATTACTAACAAAGAGTATGTATAATATTATTCATATAACATATGGAATATCAATTATCTTTCATATTAAAAAACTCACAAACAGCTTCGTTTTTTACATATATTATCTATAATTCTCGGAGTGAAAGCAAAAGCTTTATATTAAATTGTTAACCAATAAGCGATATTGAACGAGTCCAGAGGCATAACTCATTGATATGACTTATTTGAAATATTTTTTCTGGTTGAGGTATTGCTATAAGTGTTTCTATAAAATATATATTACTATTATCTCAAACTAAATTTTAACTGATTCCCAATTCCCAATCAATCTACTTTGACAAAGAGCTTCTAGTGTACTAGTATATCTAGCGAATGTGTGCTTAGCAATTATTTTGTAACATTCTAATATAATTGTAAGAACAAATTGTTTGAAATGGTCTCTAGAGCAGATTATTAAATTTTCTCTCTACGATTTCATATTCGTGGTTAATTTTATTACGCATATTATAAGGATAGGCTTGAGAAACATAATATGAAGATAGATAGAAGATGAATGAAATTTAATATATTTATTATAATATATTGTGTTTCATATGTATTTTTCATACAAAATTGCAACATTTATTCATGTAACTGTGTCCTCTAAGTGCTTCATCAAAGCAGACCCTAATAGCCAAATAGCAGCAGTGATTACATCGCACGACCTCAGACTTGAACCGCAATAGTCTTGAAACGTTATCAGTTATTTTATGAAAACATTTATAAATAAAGGAATTTTGAAAATTCCACGCCTGTTGAGGTATGAAGGATAATGGAAACCCATTGTCAAAACTATACACGCGTGATTGAGGGGAATTCCATAGCTTAAAATTAAATGGCTTTAAACATCTAAACTAAATCATATGCATGAAATTCATATATAGAATATATAGCTAAAATTTAATCATCGACAAATCAGAGCAAATTTTAAACAACATCTTAGACATAGACATAAAGATAACATTTATGACTAACAAAACACACACACAGAAACACACAAAATAAAAATAATCAAAAAAGTATAAAAAATAATGAAAGATAACAAATTTTTAAAATGAAAAATAATAAGTTTAGTTAAAAAGAATAATTGTGAATTAATTAAAAATAAGAATTAATCTTTTACAATTCCGACTCTGTTGAAACGTGATTGAAAACTTTTGTACTAGCTAGGTACTAACAGTTCTAGGGCTAAAAGAAAGTCACAAAAACCTTTGTTATCGATTCCATCTCGCATTTTCCTTAGTGCTTTCGAAGAGCCATTATGTCTATCATCTATTGTTGTCATTCAATGAACTGTTATTGTGTTTGTGATGTCTGACTACATTTAAATATCATATAATATTTTGTAATATTCTGATAATAAGCGAAAACAATATACGTAAATAAATGATGTTTGCAGATTAATTTTACCGAATAATATATAAGTGGAAAACAACGTGATTATATCGTAAATATTTTAATTAAAATAAAATGTTTGATTTTTTAGTTGAGTCACACGTTTTTATATGATTGTTCATCTATTTTTTTAATGGAGAGCATATTTTTAATATTGACATAATAGTTATTTTAATATAACATCAGTTAATGCAGTCTGTAAATTAATTTCAAGGAATTACTTCAGAATAAAAAACAAACTCATATTACGATCACAAACTGCATGTTGTGGGTAAATGTATAAAGCCCGAAGGGTATATGAAGAGGCATGTTTCAGACGTGTCTGCGTCTGATTTCTGTGCTTTTACCAGAAATTATTTTGCTAGAATTAAATTCCCGTTATATCATACAAACACCACCAAGCATAATAAACAGGGCATGATTTACTTATAATTATGATGGGTAATTCATTACTAGGGTATTTCTCATCAAATTTCGAAATTTGATTCCCTTGTCATTAGTTCTGAGTCATATGCATTAACTATGGTAAGTCTTTTTTTTATTTCAATGCACGCGGTCTATACTAATGTTGTCGAAAAATAAAACGTATTACCTCTAAAGAAATAAAAGATATGGCTACTTTGTTACCCTTAAAGTCATTCCCTCACCTTGTCCCTCAGTTCAAAAATATTACTAAAATGCCTATTCATCTCAAATATATACATATTCTTTATAATTAAATTATGCTAATATGTTAGAAAGATGTTTGTTATTGTCTATAAAAACTTTCATCTAACAACGAAGAATTTATAAAAACAATTATTTGATTTTAAATATGTCCCGCCAAATAAAATCATTCCCTCACCCTATTACGAATATTCGATTTCTAAACGTGTAGAACAATATTCAAGAACGCATCCTTAAGTTTTTAGTACTTGGCAACACTGTCAAATGATTCAAAATGGCGATTTCTTCTCAACGGTAGGTAAGTTTGTGAAAAAACATATTAAGTAAAAAATTATTAAGAGTTACATTTATGGCGATCATTACCTCACGTTACATGTATGTTTCAAGCATTTTAGTATATATGTATATAATTTGTCTTTTAATGCGTTTTTGGGAGTAAAATGTATATTCGAAATGGAACTAGTGAATTGAGGTTATGTGACGGTGTTTTTGTAGCTTTAGTTAAAATTCGTCATTCCCTCACGGCCATTCCCTCACTGCATTTAGGAGTGAGGGAATGAGGGCTGTATGAGGGAATGATTTATATAGTATTCTTCGGTGTTTCTTGCTTATTTCTTGCGACTATTTCATGATATTTAATTTGAAACAGGTAAATGTATGTGGAAGAAAAATTGCACGAACAAAGAAATTGAGTGATGCAGAAAAAAAATTAAGAAAAAAAGAATATGATCGAAAAAGGCGAGAAAAAATGAAAAATAATACTGAATCTTTGGAAAAACTGCAGGAAAAAGAAAGATTAAAATATTTAAAGAAAAAAGAGAAAGGTCAGGTAAAATCAGCTATTCATATGAATGCTAGAGAACTTAGACAAAAGCGAAAACAATGGAAAGAAAATAGTAAAGTGTATAGGAATAAAAAAGCTTTAGCACACCAAAATTTACAACGAATACTTGATTATACACCTCCATCTAGCCCAGTATCAGTGCAACAACTGAGAGAAAATTTAGCTGCTCGAAATAGACGACAGATGCGAAGGCGACGTGCTGTTTTGTATGCAAAGATTGCATATTTGGAAAAAAGACTGAAGAATGTAGTGAAGTTAGGAGAAAAATACAAGAAAAGATGTATGAGACTGAGAGAAAAAAGATATGACCCAGAATCACCTGCAAGTAAAGTAAATGTGCTCCTAAGGAATGTAAATGTTCCTAAGAGTGTGAAGAAAAAATTACTTTTCGGAGAAGCGTTAACAAAAGATCTACAGACTAGTTACGAAGATTTAGGTAAGAAACATGAAAAAAAGAAAAAGTATTACGAAATGTTGAAATTGAAATCACTGCAGAAATATAAGTTACTTCATGTATCGAAACCATTTTTCAAACATGATACTTTCAAAAAACAAAAACCTCGAAAAATAAGCGGCAAAATGCTAAAGGTAAAGGACGATGTAATTAAATTTTTGGAGAAAGATGAAAACTCAAGAATGTGCCCGGGGAAAAGAGACTATCTTAAATCCAAAGATGGTAAAACTCGACAAAAGCGTGTTTTATACGATACACTTTATAATTTACATCAAAAGTTTTTACACACAGTCAATTATAAGATAAGCTTATCAACTTTTTGTAGATTCAGGCCCTTTTGGGTTACTTGGCAAAACGTGAATGACCGAAATACTTGTCAATGTATACAGCACGCCAATATTCAACTGATAATTTCTAAATTGCATGAAGTCAAAGCATTGAAATTTTGTACCGTGACTTCAGCTTTAGCGACAATAACCTGCAATGTGCATTCCACAAAATGTCTATTCAGGAAATGTTTAACCTGCAAGGAACGCTCATTGGATTACTACTTACCAATGCCTAATCAGTTGGTGACTTATCGACAGTGGATTTATGAAGTCAGTTCATTTGAAAAGGATGGGAAACTAAAGACAGTTCGTAAACCCTTGAAGAAAGAGTACAGGGTTAAACTGAAACAGCTTGTTCAAAATCTAGAAGCAGCATTACCACTTTTTTTTCACATATGGGGACTATAGCACATCAATATCAAGCCATTCAAAATATAAAGAAAACTTTGACAATCAACGACATTCTAATTCATATAGACTTCAGTGAAAATTATTGCTGCAAGTACAACGAGGAAATACAAGCTGTCCATTTTGGTGGAGGAAGGAAGCAGATAACAATGCATACTGGAGTGCTTTACTTGCGCAAGGATAATGAAATTAAACCTGTATCCTTTTGCTCTCTCTCTAGCGACAATAGACATGACGCCATGGCTGTTTGGGCTCACTTAAAACCCATATTTGAGTGGATAAAAACACAAAATTTACCTATTTCCCGATTACATATGTTGAGTGACGGACCTGTTAACCAATATAAAAATAAATTTATGTTTGAAATGGTGCGTCGCCATTTGTCGCTTATCTATCCAGAAATCGCATATTTCTCGTGGCATTATTCTGAACCCGGACATGGTAAAGGAGCGCCTGACGGTGTCGGTGGAACCCTGAAACGGACAGCTGATAAAGTCGTTGCAGAAGGCCATGATATCGTAGACCTGAATTCATTGAAACCTATTCTTCAATCCAGGTGTCCTCGTATTTTACTGTTTGAAGTTACCACAGCAGATATTTCACTGATGGATGATCTCATAAAACAGTCTAGTACTATTCCTACTTTTCGGGGAACACAAAAAATACGCCAGTTCGTATTTTTTAACAACACTTTACAGTGCAGAAGACTTTCTTGCATAGATTGTGAAGAAGATTGTACTCACTATCATTTGGGATATTTTCAACACCAAAAGAATCGATTTACTAAAAAAACTAATATAAGAAAAGACTAATACAGAGTAATTTTAATAAATAATTAATGCTTAATATAAATAAGAAGATTTCCTAAGTTTCAGAGAAGTCTTAAGTACAAATTTGAATAATAAATAGTTATAAGTACAAAGATAAAAATGTTTGTTACCTTTATATTATAGTAAGTTTATTTTTGAGTTTATATAAACTTATATTGACTATAAGTAAAGTTTTGAGTTAATTTTTCTTAGAATATAATATTTCGTGGTTGAATTATAATAAAATTTACGTAATTTTCCTTTATTTGTACTTATTTTATTATAATATAACAATAAATCATTCCCTCACTCTGCTAATCATTCCCTCATTTATTAATTTTTTTAAAACGTCATTTTTAGAGATTTTATACAAAAATATGGATGACCATTGCTCCTAAATAAATCTCTTTGAGCAACTTTATTGATCTGTGCCAAAGAAATATCTGTAGTTTATAAAAAATTAAAATAAAAATAATTTCTAAAATTTTGAAATTTGATAAGAAATACCCACTAGCTGTCTCATACCAGTCGTAATTACTACATAAATTACAGTTATCACGAAACATAAGATAGGCTGAGTCTCGCTCAGATTCTCATCAAACTGTGCAGCCGAGCCTGCCTTTGTTTACACAGGCCGTTCTCAGCGCTTATTTATCAGCAGCTTTTCATTATCACAAAGCGAAACTCGGAAAAAGTCTTAGATTACTTAGCTGGATTATACCATTTATGCTCTTGTAAGAGTTAAAAAATTGATATTTTTTGGTGATCAGCCTCCTGCCTGACACACACCGTCGACTTTTTGGGTCTAAGACATGTCGGTTTCCTCACGATGTTTTCCTTCACCGTTCAAGCGAATGTTAAATGCGCACATAGAATGAAAATCCATTTGTGCACAGCCGGGGATCGAACCTACGATCTTAGGGATGAGAGTTGCACGCTGAAGCCACTAAGCCAGCACTGCTCTCACCATAAAAATTAATATAAGGATGCAAAAACAACTTGTAAAAGTAATGGCAATGGGCGGAACACATAGCAAGAGAAGAAAGGGAAAAATGTATAAAGATGGAATGCAAGGGAAGACAGTGAAGGCGTTGGCAGAATGACATTAGAAGGTTATCCGGGTTTAGAATAATATAGGATAGCGAAGGACAGATCAACATACAACATACAACGTACAGCAAAGGATTATTTTTTTATATGCTTAAAAAATATTGGAAAGTTTAACCGATTGTAGTAGGCGAAGATCTAATTAAATATATAACCTTGAGTTTACTAGAAAATACACATTACCTCACTGTTTGAAATCTCGTCTTGTACCCCTTGTCCTCTTTTGCAATATAACCATTTGGAAAACGAAATTAATCTCCTACTACCGATGAAGGATGAAATCGAAAATGTATTTCATGCAAAGGAGTATACGGGTCATTTGTATTGATTTTGATAAATTTGGTTCAACATAACTCTTGAAATTTTATTCTTTTTGTTTGACTAATAATAATTGACGTGTGAATTGTTTTATATGTAATGCTGAAGAATAAACCCAAACAAATGTGTATATAAATGTATATTGCTGTATTTAGTATTTAAGTTTGTGTATATCTTCGACTACCGAACAACTACGTGACTTGATTTTGATGAATCTGTACAATTTTATCATTATTTGATAACAGCTCTATGAATATTTTATTAAAATGGATGATTTGACGTTATAACTTTTCCAATGCGTAACAAAGTCAAATCATTAACATAACATAGCATGTCGTTCACATATTTTAAGCTCAGCCTTGCGATTCTGTAACTCACTTTTCGAACTTTATTGTTTATCAGAGTGCCAAATCGTAAAATGACTGCTCTACGACTGATTTGAGCGCGACCGCCGCTGTGAAAACCGCTGTGTGAGTTCGAAAAGTGAGTTACAGAATCGCAAGGCAGATATTGCATTGTTATTGTTTCGTAAATAGTCATTCATTTGTTTATTAAAAGAAGAAAGCCCACAGGTGCTGTTACGCAAGTTCATAATATTAATTTACAAGAAAAAGCAAAAGAGGACTATCAAGATAAACACAACGTTTGTTCTCTCCAAACAAAGAGATTCTAGCTTAATCAGAACACAAGTTCATGAAGCACAGTTTTGACCTTACTGAAGTCGAGCTGCACGGTGCTCACGGAGTAATATAGGGCTCCGGGCCGGGCGGTAACTCCTGATATTGGCTTTCAGCTGCCTCCTCCTGACCGACCGCAAGCTAACTTCTACTCCTTTTACTTATTCAACGCTCTTCTTCAGAACGCCTTACGATTCCGCGACTCACATTTCTGAACGCACGCATTAATATTTGACAACCAATATATGTCAATCCTTTTTCATGACCTTCCTTATTCGAATATTGTGGATATATTTTTGATTGAATCGGTCTTGCGGTTCTTGCGTTTTAAGTGTTCTAACAAACCTGACTTTATTTTATATATTCGAAATGGAGTCACTTAAAACAGTTTAGTACTTTTCGGCTTAAAGCTTTGTTAAAATCATATAATATAAATATCAAATAAATATTATGGGACACTAATCATTATTTTTAAAACATTTATTAAAAACTATATACAAAAGCCTACTGATATTTTCAATGCTCAATTCTTTACTTGATATATAGACAACTTCGATATTAACTACGGGCATACTTCCAGACCAACTCAGGAAACATTTCCTGTTGCTACTCCAGCTCACTTCCTCCACAATATTTATGAGCATGAAAAGTTCGGTAAGCTTTAGTCTGCTTTCATTATTGTAATAAAATTCGATTGTTTAATACAAATTTCGCCGTTATTGAAATAAAGTTTTACAGACACTCTTTTATAGGTCGGATAAGCAATTTAAGTCACTACATTAACGTGATTCAATTGAATAATAAGTACAATATTTAAAAAAGTCGCCTTGTTTTTACAGAATTGCGGTGTTTCTATTACCATTTCTTAAATAGATCTTACGTATAAAAAATTACGTTAAAATCGCATGCAGATGTCAGTTTTAGAAAGTAATTTTTCGAAAAGGGTAGGTCCACTATGAAGCTACATAAGAATTGCTGGATGATAAATGTTTTTGGGAAAAGATATTCTGACAATGTTAGCTATTACCGAAATAGCGAATGTTAATTCGTATTTGCGCATAAAATGAGTGTAATGTGCGCGATGTTTTCAACTCCTGAAATAATACAGATTTCTAAAACTACTACCATACTATGCGTTACGCTGAGAATCGCACAGTTTACCACTATGCGTTTGTATTAACGTAATTAAAATGTAAATTTAATAGTTATGGATTTCATTGGTTATTTGATGTTATTTGCATAAAGATAACTTTAATAAACGATATTGCGTAAAATAATTTGTAAAAATATTGATCACATCACACACGGTCACAGATTAGTCGAATCGACGATAGCATGTTAGTAAATGATATGCCTTCGTCTGTCTAATCCTAATTCCTAATACTATCATATATTTAATTATGTCAGAGTCTGTTTTTAATCGAATAATGTGTGATTTAAGAATGATAATTAAAACACATTTTACAAGCACGGTACGACATAGTGTGATGCCATTTTGCCTAAAAAGCGTTTTGGATATTTCTTGAAATTATGAATGTTTAATTTGAATTAAAGGCACAGAACAGAAAAGTAGCAATTTGTGTAGTCTCTATAGTCTGCAATAAATAATCTGAAGTTGCTTTTAAAATATGTATTGTCAAATAGCCCATTCTTACACGTATCAAGGGCATGTCTCATAAACATTGATATTCTATGCATAAAGATATTTCCAGAAACCCTAGTTATTCATTCGAAATAAATATAGTTACGGTTATGCAATGTAGCATTATTTCGGGCAAACTACGGATGTCACTCGCAAGCCTAAGTTTCTAGGAAGGCAATAGAACTAATATCTACGGTTAATCATACCGGTGAAACCAATTTTACGGTCAGCACGCTTCTGAAATAGTGAGTTGGGAGAGCTATAGTGGTTAGATTTGTGTACGTAATGTAAAGTTTGGAGAAAGATGTACATAAATAAAAACGTTGCCTAATTACTGGATATAATTTAGGCGTATTTTTGTCTTTTTTGAATCATATTTGCGCGTATGAATGAAGCATTTTTTTACTTTAAATAGTTACCATTAATTTAACATTATTATTTTTCTAAAACAAGCAGTTTTAGTTAGTATTTTCTAGAAGTTTTCATTAGATATTATAAATACATAGTTGAGGTTGTAGAAGTCGTGAATAAAGTCGTTGAGCGTACCGTAAAAATATTAGTAAAAATTCTTTGTCAAATAAAAATTAAAGGATGATGTTCTATTTTTTAAAATTTCTTTCAGTATTTACAGCAAACGCTTCACTGGAGTTTTGTCCGTGAATGACGTTATTCAATTTAATAGATATAAAAAGATTCATAGAATTGTGGTTATAAATGAATTTAACCAAAGCTTCCATGCTATGTCGATAAATTCTAATTTTATACACCCAATTAAAAATTAGAGCGAACAGATGATACAAGATATATACATCGAAATATATTATATGGAAGGCTTTTTCCTGCTTCATATAAAATATACATATTATCTTATATGATAAATTATTTAAAGTATAAAATATAACAAATATTAATCAAACTTCTCATATATTAAGGGCTAATAATTTTCTATGGTAAACGCTAATATTAACCATTTATGAAATTCTCTTTTACGGATATAAAGCATTTGAAACGTCTAAATTAAGTTAAGTATTTAAACATTTTGCGTTCCGTTCCGTTAAAGCAAATTGAGTTATAAATTTTTGAAGTGAAACTTCTTTATCGGGGTTGGAAAAAAATTTAGTGTAACATTTTTGCGTTACGCGTCACATTTTTCCGTTACGCGCCATGTTGCTTTTTGAAGTCAAACTTCTTTATCGGCGTTAAAATATGACATATAGTATGTTTTTGACTTTGAAGTTTGACAACGGATTACATTTTCG